AGAAGAATAAATATACATGTCCTGGAAGAAGTGCAGGAAAAGAGATTGCTGAAAAAGAAATAAAGAAATCAATACCGTTCTCAATAGCTACCAAAAAAAAAAAAAAAAAAACCACTTGGGAAAAAAAAAAGGAAGACTTTCTTTCGCAGTACCACCCGGCGGATTAGAAATGCTGTTAGAAATCCATTGCGAACAGGACTCCCAATGATGCACTGGTTAAGCACTCAGCTGCTAACGAGGAGGCTGGTGGCTCCACAGAAGGGAAATGTGGCTGTCTGCTTTTGTAAAGATTGAAAAAAAAAAAAAAAAACCCAAACTCACTGCTGTAGATTTGGATCTGACTCATAGCAACCCCTCCTTGGGTTTAGGAGGCAGTATCACTATGGAAATAGATTGCCCAAACTTCATTCCAAGGAGTGGCTGGTGGGTTTGAACCTCCAGCCTTCTAGTTAGCAGTCAAATGCCTTAGGCACTACACCACCATACAGCCTTGGAAAGGCTATGGGACAGTTCTATTCTGTCCTAATAGGTCCCTATGACTCAAAGGCAATGGGTTTGGAGTCTTGATGAGTTTGCTTGTTTGAGGGTTCTCTATATATTTAATGTACACACAACTTTGCTATGAGTCTAAATAGACTCCACGACAATGAGTTTGGTTTTTATACACAACTTCCAATGGGAAAAAATGATTATACTACGATATTTACTAACATGGAAGTTATTGTAACCATATCTTTTAAAAGTCTATACTACAAACTGCAGATGGTGTGATGGAAATAGCATTGGCCGTAGTTGGGCGACCTAGGGTTGAATCAGTCACAGCTGGGCCACTAAGTAGTTGTGTCTTTAGTGATTAAACAAAGTCTCATGACGAAAACACTGTGTTGGATGATATGCAGCATTCAGAGAAAAACAAAAATTCTTAAAATGTGTTGTAGAAAGCTAAGCCCTGTTCACAAGCAACCGTTGACGGTAGACAGGCTGTATGGGTCAAGATGTCTCGGGAAAATCTCTGGGAATTTTGAGAAGTGTCTGGATCGAATGGCCCCATCATCCTTCAACAATACACTACCCGATGGCTCTCTGCGCCATACAGGGTCTTTGTGAGGGTCAACGTTTCCTGGCACCCATTACATGTGCCTACATACCAGAAAGAGTAAACTTGGTCTCTGCCCTGGAGCTGAAGGACGCGGACACATGAACACCACACTGCACAGGTAGGGATGGGAGGAAAAAGTGATGGAGACACGAGCAAAAGGCGTGCACATGTCAGGTACACTAAAGCGCAACACCATGTGAGTTACCGTAATTGCAAGGCGCACTCCTGGAGCGGTGCAACAAGCGGCCGAGGCCACACGCTCCAGTTGCCGCTCGGAACAGAGCCCTGGGCACCGAAGGGGAGCCCGGGAATCCCGCATGTCCTTTGCCTGCAGCAGGGACACACCTGCTCCGAGTTCCACGCCTCCCGCCCGCGCTGGGCGAGGCTCTCGACGTGCTCGGCGCTCTACTGATCCAGCCCCGGGAGTAGGCGGGCCCGCTTGCCCTCAGGTGGTTTAACAGGCACTACAGCCGACCAATGGCTCTGCTACAATCTTCTGCCTCTTCCTCCTGATTGGTCGGTGGAGAAAAGCCGGGCTGTGAGCGGCCACAGCCTCCTGGGGCGAGCAGGAGCTGCACTCAAAGCTTCACTCGCCTGCGAGCGCTCAGTCTTCACGTCTAGACTCTTTGGGGTTCTGCAGTGTGTGCCGCCACCGCCACCGCCACCGCCACCGCCATGGCCGAGTGAGTGATCCACCCGCGAGTGCCTGGGTGGGGAGCCGGGCGCGGACTCTCGGCCCGCGGGGAATTGAGACTGGGCTCTGGCGGCTTCTCTTTGGCGCGGAGCACAGACGCGCCTCCCCCGCCTCAGGGTCGTCTGAGCCCAGCCTCGTGGGCTCCGGAGCCCGGAGCTCCAGGGTTCAACCTCTTCGCCCCCTGTCCCCGGAACCCTTGGTCCCGAGCCCAGCCCCTGCCCCACTGGGCGGCGCAGGCCCTGGGCGGGTCTCTTTGCTTGGAGAGGGCCAGGAGGGGGAAGCGAGAGGCGCTGCGGAGGAAACCGAGGGAGCCGGCCGACCCTCCCACTCCCGAGGAAGAGCTGGGGCCCGACTCTCCCATCTGCGGGCCGAACCCGGCGGCGGCGGGGCCAGAGTGGAGCCGAAGACCACTCCCTCCCCAGTGGGGCCAGCCTCCCACTGGGGAGACGGGACATCTGCCATAAAAAACAATGACCTGATAGAATAGGAGACAAGAAAAGTTGACAAGCTAGGAGTAACTTCCTAAGTGGAGGTTTAGTTCATAGTAGTGGAACTTCTGGTTCCTTGAAGTGGCAGAGTGCGGGGTTGTCTGTTGATAGCCTTATAGAATGTTGCCTTACCTGGATTCTAAGTCACACCAGGGAGTAGGGGGACAGAAGAAAACTTAAGTGATTCAAGCTGTCAAGAGCTAGAAAGTTCTGGCTTCCTGAGATGGACGGGGTTAAGAGGTACTGACACATTTTCCTTTGTTCTATTTCTCCTCCTCTTTCAGAGCTGATATTGCACTGATTGGGTTGGCTGTCATGGGCCAGAACTTAATTTTGAATATGAATGACCACGGCTTTGTGGTAAGTCTTGGGGACAGGGTGTCTTCTCTTAGGAGTTCTTGGTTGCAATAGCTGGAATGCCAGTGTTTCTGCTGATTTCAAAAATCCCATATAATATGGAACATCATCTCTTGATAGATATGCTGTTGTTGCTTAGGGCATTCTAGTAAAGGAATGAAATGCTTTACACATGGGAGGGCTGGCTCTGCAGTTTTGAGGAAGAACAGGCCTGTTGACTCTATCTGTCAGTTCTGGAAGGTTTGCAGCCTGACTGAAGGGATCAGTGAGTGTCTTGAGGAAGGAGCCCTGGTGAGGCGGTGGTTAAGCACTGGCTGCCAATCAAAAGGTTGGTAGGTTGAAGCCACCAGCCACTCCCTGGGAGAAAGATGTGGCAATCTGCTTCTGTAAAGATTGCAGCCTTAAAAACCCTACGGGGTAGTTCTGCTTTGTCCTATAGGGTTGCTATGTGTCAGATTCAACTCAGTGGCAATGGGTTTGGTTTTTTTTTTTCTTTTTTGGTCTTAAGTAAAGATGAATGGTGCAGAAGAGATCTGTTGGGTGTTTAGAACTTTGAACTTTATTGCCTACTGAGATAAGAGGAATGTGAGATTTTTATGTGTAAACACTAGATGGGTTTAGATGCAACAAATCAGTGACCAGTGACAGAAGACAGAACTCCTTGTGGAACTGGCTGATTTCTAGGGCTAATTTTGAATCCCAGTTAGAGACAGACTCTACTCTGATATGCTGAGGGCAGTTGACCTTTGCTTTATATTCTATTTCCTGCCATTTCATCCCACTGAGGAGGCTTAACTTAGAGTGCTCAGCCAGCTCTTGAGCAAATGGGAACTTAAACAGTTTAGGTAACGAGAAAGAGAAAAAGCAGGATTCAACCCTCCCCAAACCTTGGTTTGAATGGAAATTTCATTGTCACTTGGTCCACAGTCTCAAGGTTCTCTTGTTCTTTTAGGTCTGTGCTTTTAACAGAACTGTCTCCAAAGTTGATGATTTCTTGGCCAACGAGGCAAAGGGAACCAAAGTGATTGGTGCTCACTCCTTGAAGGAGATGGTCTCCAAGCTGAAGAAGCCACGGAGGATCATACTTCTCGTAAAGGCTGGTCAAGCTGTTGATGATTTCATTGAAAAACTGGTGAGGCCAGCTCTCTCCGAGTTTTTCTCATTCTTTCCTTTAACTTTTCCCCCTTCTTTTATTTCGGAGATAATTTTTTTCCTGGAGTTCTGGAAATGAACTGTCATTTTAGCAAAACGATTCCTTAAATGTCTCAGTGTTGCTTAACTTGAGTGGCACTAATTAAGTAGCACCATATCCCTGGGTGGTAATAATTCCTCCTATGTACTGTTCTGAGGACACTAAGAGAACTTTCCATAAGATTTCCTTAATAGTAAGAAATAATAGGGGCGATGATAATCTGTAATGCAAAAGATCTTAACAGCTTTGATTGTGTATTATTCATTTATGAATGTTTAGTGACGTACACTAGTAAACCTTAGTGTCCAGATTTAGAAATATATTTCATTTTTTTTCTTCATATTCCTATAAAGTAACAATTCTTAAATAGTTGTATAAGTGACAGATCCCCTTAGAGAATCCTGGAAACTACAAATTGGTGGGTACTTATTTTTGTCCCAATTTGTTTGCTTTAGCAAGTATTCTTTTCTTGGAGGGGTGGGGAAGAAGTTGTATATGGATGAAAGGGACCAATGGAAATAATTTATTTAGATATTTAAAAGTAATTTTACATTAACAGTTCAAAAAAAACCAACACACCACTTCTTTGGAAGAAATGTTTCATTGTAACAAATGGATTGATAATGAACAAAGGAAAGGGATTAACATTCCTTTCCCAGAAGGAGTACTGTTAACCCTGGGATTGTTTCTTCTAGGAGAGGACTGTGACTAGTGTGCTACCATGTATTAAGTAAATAACCTAAAAAGACAATGTGATAAAAGAAGGACTACTAAGCTTTACCAAGAGGCGCTCTGGTAGCATAGTGCCTAAGGCACTTAACTGCTAACCAGACTAGTGGTTCAAACCCACCAGCCACTCCTTGGAAGGAAGGTTGGGCAATCTACTTCTGTGGTGATACCACCTTGGAAGAAACCCAAGGAGGGGTCGCTATGAGTCGGATCCGACTTGACGGCACATAACAACAACACAAGTTTACCAAGCTGTCCCTTAGCTATAGATAGAATAGATTGAAAAATGGTAGATTATTTTTCAATCTAGGAGAATTTTAGGTTAACTCTTAATGGAGCTGTTAATGTAGAATTCTTTTTGAATAAATAAATTATATCCACTGGTTCCCCTTTATCTGTATCTGTATTCCTTGTCGGGGGAAATATTAAATAATAAAGCCAATCTGATTGGTGAGCTGAGGTGTGATGTTCAAGGCTCAGTCTCTTCCTGCCATTTCCACACAGTGGTGATCAAAACCCAACTTAAGATAGGTTTAGTCTTGGCCAACACAGTAAAATCAGAACAGACCGGAGTTTTTTAAAATTTAGATGAAGTGGAATGATAACCAGAACAGGAAAAATTATAGATCAAAGCTCTGGAATGGGAGACGTAAAAGAGGCATAATGAGCCTTTTCAGGAACCTGATGCGGAAGATTGGATTATTGCCAGAACTGTGGAGAACAACACATTCAAAGCGGTGTCGTCTGCGGCCAACTTTGAGTCGGGCATTATTTCTAACTCTGCTGGTCAAAGAGATTTGGTTGCTGTGCAGTGCACATGCTACCCTTACTTTCTAAGGGAGATTAAGTTTCTAACAGGGCATTGACCTGTAACTTTTCCTATTCTGGTTATTGTTCCAGTACACACACATTTTACAAATATGAGTCCGTTCCAGTTTTACTTTGTTGGCCGTCACTGAACTGGGGAGAACGGTTTGAAGCCTTGAATCAAAATCATTCATTCATACACTTAACTGTTTTATGTATCTTTACTGGATTTATGAAACTACTACTTTGTTCTATTGTTATTGTTCTTAGGTGCTGTCAAGTTGATTTGCAGTTCACAGTAAGACTGCCCCATAAGGTTTTCTAGGCTGTCTTTGTGGGGGCAGATCATCAGGTCTTTCTCCCAGAGCCTCTCGGTGGGTTTGAACCTCCAACCTTTTGGTTAACAGCCGAGTGCTTAACCATTGTATGACCAGAGTTCCTTACTCTGTTCTAGGCACATGTTATAGAAAGTGATAAAATTACTGGAGTTAGTCCTGGCTTTAGTGTCTGGGGATATAAACTAAACTGGTGGTATATACTCAAAATTTCCCAAGTGTAGAGAGTAAGCTTTGTTTGTTATAAAATCTTAGATTAAGTAGTTAAAGGGAATTAGTCATGGTGGGTTCCAACTGGATTGACCAGCCCTAAGCTTTTAAATAGGGAGTTAAGGGTCTAGCTGTAGCCACAGAGGGGATTATGAAAGATAAATAATGTATGCTTACTTGAGATGATTCTTATGTCTGTGTTAAGTAGCCAAGGTATTCTTTTGTCTTTCATTTCTTTGGTCCACCTTAATGCTAATTAATATTTGGTTATAGGTACCATTGTTGGATGCTGGTGACATCATCATTGATGGAGGAAATTCTGAGTACAGAGATACCACAGTAAGTGCTACTTTATTTGATTCCAATTCTTCCAGGTTCCCAAAACACTCTAGAAAAAGTATTGGCATTGCACATGTGATGAATGGTGAACTGTCCTTCTGTGGTGGTAATTCTTTGGAGATTGGTACCAATGTTCTTTCTCTGCTAAGATACACTTGGTGGTGCAGGTGCTCATCAGTCACACGTGCACCTTAGGAGAATGACTACAGCTTAGATAGAGCAGGCCGGGAATTTTGGCTTTTCTTGTTTGTTCTCTCTCTCCCACTGATCCATGATATGTCAATGCATAATGTTGAGAATCACTGTGTTAATGGTGTCTTAACGCTTAGGGAAAGTTTCTTTATATTCTGAAGTGCTAAATGGCAATACATCATACTTGTATTAAGTCAGCTCTTAAATAACCAAGTCTTTTTGTAAGAGGTTTTTTCTAAATGGGAATACATGTTTGGCTTTATTTCTTTTTGGGGACAAGGTAGATAGTTTGATATTACATGGATTTTTTTTTTTTTAAGTCCCAAACTGAGGGAGTCAGATTTCTTCAATAATCAAGGTATTCTTGGATTCTTGGGTTATTTAATGTCAAATGTAGGATTTCTATACCTGTTTCATATATTCGTACACTCATTGGGAGAAGCCTGTTTTTCAGAAGCATAATGAAACTATTTTTCTCTTGTATAGAGACGATGTGGAGACCTCAAGGCCAAGGGAATTTTGTTTGTGGGGAGCGGAGTTAGTGGTGGAGAAGATGGGGCCAGGTATGGCCCGTCACTCATGCCAGGAGGGAACAAAGAAGCTTGGTAAGAACCATGCTCTCACCAGCCCATTTCAGCATGAGGGAGCCTGGACTTTGAGAATCAGTGAGTGTAGGGGATGGGAAACAATGGAGTATTCCTTTCATCTGAATCATTTTGCTGCTTTGATGTAACATGTGCATATTCTTTCTCTTGCCTGTTTTCTTCTCTTACTCCTTCCACTGATACTAGCTGTTCTGGATTGGTTGAAGGGGTTCAGAGGCCTTGAGAAAGCAGTTCAGTTGATAATCTGGGCAGTGGCCAAGCTTAGGAGTAAGGTCTGACCCTTTTAGCTGATATATGGTCCTAAAAGAATGTTAATAACTGTGGGTAGTGGAAGAATCTAGCTGAACCTCTTTCATCCCTGGGAATTGGGTGGAAAATTTTATTTGATTTAGGAATAAACAAATTTTACAATGTCTCTGTGCTGTATATAAGAGGAAGTGTTAGCCATTGAGGAGGAGGGCGTGCTTGTGAAAGACGGATGTGTAAGATAAGGTGTGGGGTGAGTGGGACAGAGAATCAAAATGGAGAGATGCAAGAACAGTCATGCGTTGCTTAATGTCTATGATACGTTCTGTGAAATAGGACGTTGCCTGATTTGGATGTTGTGCAGACACCATCTTACATACAGGTAGTTCCCAGATTACAAACAAATTCTGTCCCTAATTATGTCAGATTGTATATAAGTTAGGCATGGTTCCTATCTCATGTCAGTCAAATGTTTGTCTTAGTGTGTAGTATGTGGTGTACCTTTCTATGCATAAAAAACACTGAAGAATCACTTCCAGGTATACTAAAACATTTAACATAATAATGCTTTGATGTACGTCGGAAAGTAGTTCCCATTTGTCATTATGAACCATGTATCCAGGATTTTAATACCACAGACCTTATAGGGGTTGGGACCATTACTATATATACATACATATAACTTAGTCTGAGGGGAAAGGTGACCCCTGAGACTGCAGAAAAAGAGAAGGCCAGATAGACGGAGCACAAGAGAAAGAGCGAGCAAAGGAAGGATCCTTCATGATGGAGACGTGGAAAGGTAGCGTTCTTTTCTGAATGAGGTTGATTTCCAAATATTCTAGAATTATATCGAGCATTAAAGTATAGAAGTGACCAAGCTTAACCATCAAGGTGAAGGGATTACTGAGAAAGATGATTCTTTAGATTACCTCTGCGATATCTAAATCTGAGGACTCTTTTCAGTAGGTCGAAATCCAGGAATAGAGAGGTCTGGCTGCTGCTCAGAAGCTTAAAAACGCCCTCTCTTGGGCCCTTGTCCAGTGCGTTAGTAAGAGTGCAGACAGTTCCCGTGAGAACATTTCACCCACAGAGGTGCTCTGATTGCTCCCCTTGGCTCCTTTTCTTACACTGGTCTAGCGGAAGTTGAAAGGGCACTTTTATCTGAAAGTTCACAGAAGTTCTTAAAGCTTAACATACAGCTGTCTCAACCCCCTACTCCTAAGTGCTAACTTTGTAACTCTTCCTGGGTTCTGTGTTCATCCCATAAACTCTTTATAAAGAAGCCTGTATCAGTCAGTAGTGTGTATAGGACCAAAAGGTCGACAATCAAAGCAGCGGTGAAAAGGTAAGGGGCAGGAAATGATAGCCCTTGTGCTGGAAACTGAACAAACAGGGTGTGATTAATGAGAATGGTGACTGTTCTGGTTACTAGTGCCGCTCTGACAGGAATACACCACAAATGGGACAGCCTTAACAAACAGGAGTTTATTACTATTTGGAGGCTTTAAGTCCAAGTTTAAAGTGCCAGGCTCTAGGGGCTGGGTGAAAGCCCCTCAACCTTGGGGTCCAGCTCTGCCTCCTGCTCCTGGCCCACTGGAGCTGGAGGCATTTCTTCACCCAGATAGCTGTTGGCTGCTGAGGCTGAGAAGCTCCAGGTTGACAAGTAAAAAGGCACAGTCCTGACGTTACCAAACCACACGGCAGGCCATTAACTTAAGTCCATTGTAAGTCCCAAGGTCTACGGAGCATAGCAGGCTGCTGAGCAATGACATGGCTACATGCAGGGTCCAAGTGTGCCATAGGCTAGAGACCATTCTCAAGGATTCTCCTTATATACAGGAAGCAGACCACATCCCAAAGACAGCTACTCAGCTGCTTGTCGTAGATCCCACCATGGAGTTGATTGCCAGTCTCATCATGGGGAATAACTACCACCAGCTGCCCAGCCACTCAACCAGGCCCAGCCAAGTTGACACACAAACCGATCTACCATAGTGACATATTGTGAAAAAGGCAACTAAGGTCACTAAACAATTTGTGCAGAAGTTGTCAGTTGGGAAACTAGTTTGCTGTGTAAGCCTTCACCAAAAACACAATAAAATATGGTTTAATGACAACAACAAAAAGAATAGTAAGGAAAAAGCCTCCAGAGTTACTATGTCTTCCTGATGAGGTCAGGGAGGAATGAAGGACAGCTCTTCCTGAGTAGCAGTGAATGTATCTCTTGGGAATACTGCATGGTTCTATCTGCCCTTGCCCTTGACCAACTGTCCAGAATCGTGCTGTTCCTGATAATGGACATCCAGACTAATGAAGAGGATCTCTAAAGGAACTTTTGTATTCTTGGTGTTTGGAATCACAGCTGTTGCTTTTATTCCCACAGTGAAACTTTCTGGGGTTTTGATGATGCTTCTGACCGCTTTTTTGTCTGTGGTGTCAAATTAGATAGTCTGCAGCCTCTGCTTGGGTACCCACCAGAATCTGGGGAGCAGGCAGGTCAGTCAGCATGGGACTCAAGTTTACCTGGAGGACTTAGCCTCCTTCCTTATTTTTTAGTGGGTGCCTCTATCTTACATTAGGAAGAGAAGTGGTGGGGGTGGGGTGGTTCTTAAGTATAGTTTAATTGCAATACCAGCCCCTCTCTTTTCAGCAGCTGAACTACACTGTTTTCTCCACAGGCCCCACATCAAGAAAATCTTCCAAGGCATTGCTGCAAAAGTAGGAACTGGAGAACCCTGCTGTGACTGGGCAAGTGCCAGGCTCTATTTGGCAACATTGGCATGTCTGAGCGACTGTGATTACACAGAGCACAAGACCACCTGGGTCCCAGCAGTCAGCTCTGTGACATAAGCTTCTCAAGTTGTTAGCATAGCTGATGCCTAAAATGCATTCCTACTGTGCATGTCTTATATCTTAATGGAGGGCTTGAGTGTCCACAGCCCTGGGTTGACAGTGAAAGTAGCCCTCCTCAGTTCATCTTTAAGTAACAAAGGATGAAGTGAAATAGGATCTTTTTTGAGACGTGTTACCATATGGCAAAAGGGAATGTCAGAATCAAATGTGAGCTTTGCTTACCTGGGTGGATGGAAGAGGATTGAATAGGCTTTTGCTTTGTCGGATGTCCTGGCCATAGATAGAAAAAATCTGTTTTCTCATAGTTGGGATTTAGGTATTCCCTGCATGAGTAGAACAAGCTGCAGACTTTCACCCTCAAGTGAATGTGAAGGCGCCTAGGCTAATTCTCAAATAACCTTCCTACTATTTTTTGTTGCTATTAAAATAAATTTATCTCTATTAGTGCCTCAGTCCATATTGTGGATGGGAAAACCACTAGGCATGTGAGATCTGAGTTCTAATTCTGGCTCTCCATGAACTAATTCTGTGGCATTAGGCAAGTTATTTCCCCTATAAGGGTTTCCGTTTCCTTATCTGTAAAATGTGGAGTTTAGGCTAGATGATCTCCCAGGTAGTGGCTCATTCCACTGCCACCAGTTGTCATCAAGTCTGTTCTCCCTGGCAGTGACCTCGCGTGTCAAGAGTAGAACAGTGCTCCGTCAGGTTTTCAGTTACTGATTTTTTGGAGAGTAGATTGCCAGGCCTTTATTCTGAGGTGCCTCTAGGTAGACTTGTACCTTTCTCCTTTTAGTTGGCTGCTGAGCACATTAATCGTTTGTACCACCCAGTGATATA